ATTAACATTCGATAATTACTATCTAAATGTTGATAAGTTAGGAAGTAACTAATATCGATCTGTAATACATTTGCTTTTGATATTTAAATTTATCAGCGTATGAACGCTGACAAGGAACCTTAACAGCAGAAAAAAATGAATAAGTGCTCTCAATTGCACTCTATTTGCTCAACTTTATTACATCAAATATTTTTTATTTATCATTAATTAATTGAAAATAATTATTACACTTTGAATAATTATGAAATGGCGACGTCACGAGTGGGAGATATGTTATACGCATGCGCAACCACAAATTCAAGGTGCAAGCACACTTGGAAAAAAATGAAAGTAAAGTTGGTATACGTGCAGGGGATATATTTAAAGTTGATTTTCAAAGTAACAATCTATAATGTAGTGAAAAGAAATAAGTTATTCGTTTATAATGTATAAACAATAGGTAAATATTTTCATTTTTTTAAATTTTTTCTGCCGTTGCGGTTCTATGCCAACTATTTTGTGGTGAGGTAATATAGAAACTTACAAGTCCCCTTTTGTATCTACCCAGCATCATTTTTGTTACCATTGGAACCACCATTGGACGATAGTGTGTACTTAACGCGATGACGGTACAATACTATCAAAGAATACAATATTCTTATATTATATAATATAGTATATATAGTATAGTTATATTGTAAGAAAATTTATGTGATATTCTTATCGATGAAAATTTCCCCCTCCGAAGACACTACTGCACAGAAACGTTAAAACAAATTTACATTTATTCAAACAATTACATAAAAATTAAAAAAATGTAAAATCAAAACGTTATAATCTTAATTTCTATTTAATTTAATTAATATTTTCGTTATACACACATGCGCAACTCTTGAAAAGCTATATAAACAACTGTCGATGGAAAAAACTTTATTACGTGACAACGTCTCAGTCTAACAAAAGATTTCGAAGAGGAAGGTACATCAGCTGGTACATCCTCAATTTTACGTTACATTATACATTTTAATTAATTATTTAACAATTTTTTTAATACTTTGATACACTCTCTTTATATTTCACATTGTTTAAACATATATGTACGAGTATAAGCATTACATACTTATTAACATTTTTTAAATATTAAATGATTTCGATATGATACTCTTCTCGATGAAAATTTCCCCCTCCAAAGTCAGCACTGCACGGAAACGTTAAACCAAATTTACATTTATTTAAATAATTACATGAAAATTAAAAAATATAAAATCAGAACGTTATAATCTTAATTTCTATTTA